ATGAAACATGGTTGATCTAGACTGGCTGGCCAATAGCCAGTGCTCAGTCTTGATAGTATTCTCCAACTCCCTATTCACTGTTCTGCTGAAGTGACCAACTAGTACATCTGAGTCAAAGAGTTTGTAAACACCTATGTATTTCAGAGAAATTATGCTTCCCTATTTATTTCGTGAAAATTCCAGTTAAATCCACGATAGCTGGTCAGGCAAAAGTTGACCTTCACCCCACCTGTGAAAGGAGACAATGAAGGAGAACAAACTAGGCAGAGGAGAGTCTCCTTGTCCCAATGAAGGGAATGTTTTTAAGACTTTTAGCAGCCTACAGCAGTTACTGATAACTTGTTGCCACTGAGTCTAGGTAACAACATACTTTTCCTTCCTGATTGTTCTATCAGTCAGGATAGGTTCAGTTTTGCTGCAATAAGAAATAAGCCCAAATTCTAGGAGGCTTAACCCATTTTTTCCCTCATCCAGATAGATCAGCTGAGGCTCTGTTATCTTCCAAGCTAGAGCTTGGCCTCTACACTGGGAGGTGCTAAGACATCCTCACTCAGGGTTCCAGGGCCATGGAACAATCATTTTCTGGGGCGTTGCCCTGCCAGATGGACTAAAGTTTCTAAAGGGTCACTCATGCAATTAAATGTTTGAATCCTGTGACACAATTTGCTTCCACCACTGGACAGAACTGCTCCTCAGATCCCCACCAACTCCAAGGGATCACAAAACGTAGCCCTTGGGTATGCCCAGGAGCCAGGCAGTCAGAACAGTCAGGACTGACCACAGTCTCTGAGGACTTGAAAACTAACTCCAAAGTCCACGTCTAAGTTTTGGACATCTTGCTGGTGTGGTTTTAATTAGTTGGGATTAATGCTCTGTCATCTTGCCAAGTTCATACGCAATTTAGAGGGGAAAGTTAGATCAACTTACAGAATCTCTTAGCTTTGGAGAAAATTAGGCAAATGATAAATTATTTTCATTGACTTAAAGACACCATAAGATTTCTTTACTCTACAGAAACCAAGAAGATTATATTTCCTTAAAGATCTCTTATACTTTCATAGCCTGTTTTGGGTACCCAATAATAAAAAAGAATAAAAAGAGGATATTTCAAACACTCTGGAAACATCTACTACAAGATCATAGTTTATATTTACTAAGAGCTCACTATGGGCATATCATTTTTTTTTAAGATTTCTTTATTTATGCATACAAGAACTTGGTACAGGCCAGAGGTGTGGGAAGCAAAATGATTCACCAGAGGCAGAGTGGGGAGCAGAACAAGTAGATACACTGCTGAGGGGAGCAGCGGACAAGACAGGAGAGGTCTGCTGCACTATGTGGGTCACCTTCCTGCCCTGGAATCAAACTAGTGCTGCCGTGGCTGTGGATACCTTTGTAGTGCCATGCTTTAACCCATTGCATCACCAGGGAGGATTCGGGAACATCATTTTTCTAAGTGTTTAGCAAGGGTTACCTCATGACACCTTCATTAGTGAGGTAAGTTGTGATTATTCCCATTGTCATGAAGAGAAAACAGAGGCCGAGAGAGGCTAAGTAACTTGTCTAAAACCAGAAAGAGAGTGTTACATTCTGTTTCTGTACTGCTCAACAAGCAAGATGCTTGTTGCAAATAATCCTATTCTGTCCTCTTGAAGGACATCTATTCTAAAATGCATGCTATTCTGGATTCTTCCGAGTTCATCACCCAGTATGGTGAGTATAAGGAGCTCCCTTGTGAGTCTGGTTGCTGACGTTTACTGGGGGCTCAAGAAAGGCAGCCTGGTACTGGGTTTAAATCCCAACAGATGAAACAATATTTATTCAGGAAAACGTGTGACTGAATGAAAGTGATTAAGACACAGGTGGTTTCCTGAGTTCCAGCACACACAGAGGCTCAGCCCATACACACACACACAGAGGCCACACACACTGTTAAAAACAAACAAAACAAAGGCCCCAAATGGAGTCACTTGAGGATAAGCCCATAGTTGCCCAAACCAAGACTCAGTTTCACCTTCCAGGGGAAATGCAACCAATCACTCAGGAAGCCAGAGCAGAAGGGTGAGATGGTGGAAGGTAGACCCTTCCCTCCCCTAAAGGGAAGTGAACCCCCACCCCCACCACCGCAAGTCCTCCAGCTCTCCTTTCTGTCTGCTAGATGGGATGTTGCCTGATTCATGAATCATGCACTAAAACCAAGAAGCTTTTTAAAGCACACCCGATTTGTTTTGTTAACAAGACACACACTTTGGCTCTCGGGCACCTATTATTTCAGCTTTACGCTGGAAATTCCCAGCCATTCATTTCTGTTTTTCTGACAACCCCACCCTTTCTTGGAATGTTCTCAGAACAAACCAGGGGGGGCTGGACAGACTGGTCACTGGCACCTGAGAAGACTGGAGGGTGCTTCCCGGAAGGGGCCTGAGGGGGAAGATTTCTAGCCTTCCCCTCTGGAGCCTGAAAGCTACAGGTCTGTCTGAAGTTGAGGTTCAGGAGTCTGTGGCTCACTATTTTGGAAATGGTGATTTAGAGTCAAGTTCTAGAGAAAGATGTTGATGGAGGAAAGAATGCAGGGGAGGCATCACGAGACTGAGTCACACAACGGGATGGGGAGAAGGGGCCAAGGCAGCAGTTGGCACAGCCATAAAATCAGGGCACCAAAGCCAGGATGCCGCTGCCCAGGTGAAGAAGAGGACATGGAGATGGACATGAAGCTCACTAGGGAATCTCCCCCCTCTCAGATTCTATTCAAAGTCAACAAACCCAGTCTCTCAAGGAGTGAGCTCCTCCCAGAGAGAAGCTGTCTATATCTGGAGTCTCTCCACCAGCACGGGCCAGCCGCTCCACTGCCCACCTGAGCCTATGCAGGTGCTTCTTTCCACCTGCTCTCCCGCTGCAGGGCAGCAGCCGCCTGCCCGCCTGCAAGATCTCTCTCTGCAAGCTTGTCCCTTTCGGGGCAGCTCGTCCTGCCCACTTGCACCTAACCAAGTGTCTTCCCCTCTCCCGTCTCTTTCCAATCAACTTCCTCTTTAAATATAACTGAGTCTCTGTCTCATGAAGAATCTCGCCATGTGCCGCTGAAAGGGGAGCTCTGGTGAGACCTTTCCCAGAGTGAACCCAAGAACCCCGAACTCAAATGTCGACATCAATGTCAATTCATAGCCCATCCCAGCTGCTTACAAACTGACCTTGGGCAAATCAGGATCCTTCCAGAGCCTCACTTTCACCATCCCTGGAGCATGTGATAAACTTGAACTACACAGCAAGTGGCTATTCCTACTAATCTTGCTATTCTTGCTATTGTATTCAGAGCCTTGCCAGTCCCATCTGAGACTACAGAGGCCTCCAAGTCACCAGCAAAGTCTGCTGGAAGCGGGAATCACTTCTGCTAAAGTTTAGCTCTGTAAGTAAAAGAGACAATAACACGTGAGCCCTCCAGGAACCAGGGAAATGCTGAGTAAAGAACACAGGCTTCGGGCCCTCCCTGGTGGCGCAGCAGGTTAAAGCACAGCACTAAGAAGCTGAAGCCACTTCCGCATGAGTTCGATCCCCGCCTGCCCCGGAGGAGATCCACATGGCAAGCCAGACCTCTCCTGACCCGCCTGCTGCTCCCCTCAGCAGTGTACTGCATTGATCTGCCTGTCCTGCTCCCCACTCTGTCTCTGGTGAATCCTCTCACCCTCCAAATCTCTGGCCTGTACCCCAGATCTGTGTAAATGAATAAATAAATCTTTAAAAAAAAAAAAAAAGAATACAGGCTTCTCCCCTTCTCCCTCCTAAGACAATGACCATGATGGTGGTTAAAAAGACAAAGACAGATCTCTACTTTCAGAGCTTCTGTTGAACTTCGGCATGGTGGAAGGGGTTGTTTCTGGCAAGGTTGGGGGGTTACGACCTTGCCCCCCACAGGGCTCCTTCCAGGGGCTAGAAAGGGGCAAGCTCAGAGAAAATGTACCTGGTTGTTGGGAAGGGGCATGAGCAGGAGGAGATGAGTTTGGGGGGCTGGGATAAGGCATGAGCAGAAGAGATGGGTTTGGGGGCTCTGGAAGGAGCAATAGCGGAGAGAGTGAGTTTGTGGGGGGCAGGGACAGCTACAGCCCAGCTGCTAAGGGATGTTCTAGAAATGAAGCTTGCCCAGAGGCAGCAAACTCAAAGTCTTGCAGAATCTCAAATTGTCATCTGGGGTTTGGCAGGTGATAAAATGAGGGGAGCCAGTGGGAATAAGGGAAAAATCACATGCTCATCATGGCCCCCTCCTTCCTTGTCCTACCTTTGATGGAGACTTGGTCTCCGAGAAATGCACCTTTACTCTAAGAAGAACAAGAGGACCCTGGTCTGGGTGGCAGAGGCAAGAGGGTGCTGGGAATGTCGGGAAAGCACCTGAGACATACACATTGGGTGGGGTTGGGGGTGGGGAGTGGGGGTGGGGGGGAGGGGATGGAGGGTGAGGGGTGGGAGAGGTGCTGTAGCTTGAGGGTTGCAGCCTCCAGTGGTGACCTGTGGCAGGTGTGGCTGCCCTGGAACCCCAGAGCTGAGGCTGAGAGACAAAATGCCCCCGGGATTGGTTAGTGAGGCTCCTAAAATCTTGGGCACAGTGATTCACGATCAGAGTCTGTGGAAGAGCAACATCAGCCCCAGAGGACAGCTCAGCAGCTTTCAGTAATCTTAAAAGGATTTCAACCACTGGTTGTGCAATGCATGTGCAGATTAAAAAGAGGAGGGAAAAAACAAACAAGGAAAACGAATGGTAACTGAGCCCACCATAGGGTCCTGGAGGGGGATGAGGGAGGAATGGGGTCTCCCCTTGGCCTGCCCCATCTGGAGGGGTGACTGTGCTGGGGCCCCACCCACCATCATCTTGAGAACACATCCGAGAACACCGGAGAACATAGGAAGGAGGGTTGTGTGCATTATCTCCTTATTATATGTTTGTACACATTTTAATTTTTATCTTATTTTTTCTGCCCCCTGCTATAGACATTTTTAAATGTTGCCTCACATTTGAAAAAAAAAAAAACAAACAAACATGTAAATATTAGATCTACAATGTCATTGATTGTAAGACATTCTGGTATTAATACACTACTAAGAAAGAAAAAAGACCTGGCAAGTAAACCATGACAAGTCATTGATGGTAAGGCCAACGCCAATTCTAAAGATGTCCCAGTGTGAAGAAAATGTGTGTCTTGGCATTTAAGAGCTACTGTACATCAGTAGGCTGGGCTTCTGGCTCCTTGTGCAGTTCCTAACCTATACCACCAGACTGAGCAACCCTCATGACATCAGCCCAGGACACTGGAGGGCCTGGGAACCCCCGAGACTTTGTACTGGAGTCATATCTATGAAACCCAAGTCCCTGGAGAAGCAAACCCTCTTCCATCTCCATCTGGACCAGGTGTGAATCAAGGCAGCAAACAGGAAAACACGGTGCATTTGTTCCAACAGATCAGTAGGTCACTCACGGTGATGTTTGTGAAGTGGACACGGGAGAGGCTCGTGGGTTGCCAACGTCACGGGAGTTCTGATTCTTACTAGGATGGGAGCTGGGAAGAGGAGTCTCACACCTGCGTTTCTATAAGCCCAGAGAGGGGAAGGCACCAGCCAATGTCACCTGAAGGAACGCAATACCCCACCCAGCCCCAGGGCTACTGTCTCCAGGGCTGAGCCTCCAGGTCCTCTCCCTCAGGCCACCCGCCTCTGGGGCTCTGCCTGTGAGTTCACCTTAGAAAAAGGCCCTTTATTTGATTCACAAGACTTTTCAATTTTATTAGTAAAATACAAAATGGCACAGACATTGGTGATAGGGTTGGAAAAGCAAAAGGATCAACCAGTTCTTTCCAAAGGTCCTCCTCAAATTGTCCTTGTCCATATCCTGCTTGGGAGAACTAACAAATCCATGCGAGGGGACCAGCTGCCCCAGCTGCTTTATTAAGTAAGGAAGGCAGCCCCATCATGGTCGCCCTGCCTCTGGAAGGCTCTCCCAGCTTGCAGGAGTCTGAAAAAGAGCATTCAAAACTCATGACCCCGTCTCTGGACCATTCGAATGAACCCCAAGTTCAGCCAGGCTTAAACTTCCTGCACATGCCCGAAAGGAGGTAAAGAAGGCCGGGTGGGCAGGGCAGCCTGGTTTCTGTTCTGGACCAGGCCTGTGCTGAGGTTCATCTGCAAAGAAGCATCATTGCACCTGGCGGGAATGCTGGTCCAGGAGGCTCCTCCGGTGGAGGGCAAGGGCCGCCTGAGGGGCAGAGTCCTATCTGCTCAGTCAGACTCCAGCTTTATCCAGGCCTGCCTCCTTCCTCCGCAGCACAGCGAAAAAGAGAAGCTCTGACTTTGGCCACAACTTCCCTCCCGCTGGTAGACGCTCCCCACGGGACAGAGGCCCTTTCAGAAATAAACACGGCAACCTCAGGTTTCAGTGGTGGGTTCTGGTCTCCTTGAAAACATCATGGAAATTCCTGATACTGTGTCAGATGCGGGCAAAGGTGAAGAGAGATTCTGAGGCTCAGAAAACAGTGTTTTCAGGGAGTAAGAGAGAAGGGGAGTCAGGTCTCAGGAAGAAAAGAAAAATGCTGGACTTAGGCCCCATAGGGATCAGGGGACACCGGACCAGATCACTGTGCAAGTTCCTAGCCAGGAGGGTAGCTGCTCCTGTGGCCACCCAGCTCCTTTCTGGAAGGGCTTCTGTCTCCCCAGGAGCCTGCAGGCTTCCCTCCCTCCTTGGGCCTGGCCCTCGGCTGCCTCTGTGTCCTGTGAGCCTGCCGGCCACAGGGCAGGGATGTTTTCAAGGCCTGGGAAGGCCTCCCCAGTTGGTCTGCACCTCGCAAGGACCCAGGCCCCGCTCTGGGAGTCCACAATGCTGACCAAGGTAGTGAGGCTGCACCTATTTGGGGGAAGGGGTCTCTGGGCCACTTCGGGAGCCTGGCGGGGGTCCCGGTTATTGCCACATACTCTTCATCCCTATTTCCTTTCATTATGGGAAGTCAGAGGTACAAATGCCTTGTGGGGTCGGTAGGGAACCTGGGGCCGAGACCCCCAGCCTCACACTCACAGCCAGCATTCCTGCAGGGTGTGCACAGACTGAGGCAGAAAGAAGTCAAAGCCCCGGGGAACTTCATCTCCCTTCCCCGCGCCACGGCCTGACAGAGGCAGCGACTTTGCTGGCGGTAGTCCCAGGAACACCACGCCAGCCTCATGCAAGAAAAGACAGGTCCCCAGCTCAGGCTGGGGGCGGGCTCAGTGCAGGGACAGGGAAGATAGCACCGCAGGTGGCCGGGGGGAGGGGGACTAGCGACTGCAGCGGGACCAGGAGACAGGGAGAGGGCGGGAGGGGGTGGCGGAGGGGCCAGGCCTGAGGCTCACGCGTGAGATGGGATGACCAAATGCCCACGTGGGGAAACGGGGCAGACGGGGCAGGTGTTTAATAAATAGTTGTTCGTCGGGGCAGGGAGCCTCTAACCAGCCAGCAGCAGAGGAGAATTTCCTGACTTGGGGACAGTGGGGTAGTTGTAGAAGTCAACACTCTGTCCCCAGAAGTCAAGGATGGTCAAGGGTGGCCTCTGGGAGCTGGGAGCAGTCCCATCTGCTCTGGTCATCCCAGCTCAGCTCAGGCCCCTGGTGAGGGTGGGTGTGAGGATGGGGGGCCCCAGGCAGCTGTCTGAATTGAACGGTGGATGCAGGCAGGTGGAGGGCTCACACTGGCACCAGGACGTACGAGTTGCTGCCGCAGCTCCGGGGGACGTAACGGAGCCCCTCCACCATCTCCCCTGCCATCTTGCGGGGACAGCCTTGAAGGCTCTGGTAGGCAAACATGGCCACCCCCACACAGAAGAGGAGGCCAAGGAAGGCCAGCAGCCCCACCGCCTGCCTCCGGGTGGCCACCTGGGAGTCAGGGACAGGGGTCATGAGGACGCCCAGCCTCTGGGGGTCCACCGTGGCGTGGATGGTCTCCTCGGCCTTGGGGGCCCAGCTCCCTGAGGCCACCGGCTCCCTGCTGGGATCCCCCTCAGAGGAGACAGGGCCCACGGAGACATGGGGCAAGCTGCCAGGCCCCATGAAAGCATCTGTGTGAGCTGAGACGGGACCCTTTTCCTGGGGCCCTAGAGAGTTCTCTGGTACGGGGTCTTGCTCCTTGACCCACACAGATTGGCCTTCAGATCCAGCGCTGTCCTCTGGGGCTGTGTGTGACATGGTGGGGGCCTGGGAAGAGGCGGCCTGGGTGGGGGGGGCCTGGGTGGAGGGGGCCTTGCCTGCAACCCAGAGGCCTGACTCTGGTTGGTCTGCAGCAGAGTCTGGCCAAGGTGTGGTGGTGGTGACGGCAGCCCCGCCGGAAAGCTCTGTTCTCTCAGGCCCCGCTGGAGGCTCACCGTCTGGAGCCCTTGTGATGGAGGGGGAGCCAGTCGCCCAGGTGCCAGCCACTCCTGTTGGCAGCTCTGGGGAAGTCCCCAGGGCCCTCTGTGCCTCCTGGCCACTGCTCTCTCCTGTGGCTTTGGGCTCTGCGACTGCGGATTCTTCCATCGCCCGGGCGGCCGGGGTGGTCCTGGGCTCACCTGCACCGATTTGCTTCTCGAATGTGCCGCCATTTCGAGTCAGAGCAGCAGCCTGGCGGTCTAAATGCTCCATAGCATTCTGGACCCATTTCTCCATTGGGTTAGCGCAGAAGTACCTGTGCGCCTTGGTCTCCAGGCTACAAGGAAGGAAACAGGACCCCGGTGATGCCCCGATGCCATGTGGCGTAGGGCCCTCACAGGTGCTCAGCCAGTGGCGGGTGCACGACCTCCACAAGGCCCATGATCTCACCTGAGACACAGAGGGGGCACACCTGAGCCCAGTAGGGTGACAGACTGCCCCGGAAAAGCTGGGACTGGCTGAGGGGGTTCTCAAGATGCAGGACTTTTTGTGAAGGTCCCAGCCAGTTGGGCCTACTTCTGTGTTATATGAAAAGTGAAAATTATGTGAAGCCCCTGGCTCACAGTAGGAACTCAGTAATAGCCAAAGAGAACCACAGTGTTGAAAATCATGTTTCCATGAAGGTGGGGGGTCTGGGCTGTGTCTTCTGAGAAGAGATGTAGTCACAGGTGTTCTCTGCCACAGGTGTGTGATTAGTGAGCTGGGGAGGGGGGAAGTGTTCTGGAAACGACTCAGTGCCACAGCATCCTCCTTTTCTTTCCCCTCAGGTGCAGGCTGCCCTCTGCCATCCCCCCCCCCCCCAGTATGTGTCTTCCGACCAAAAGGACACTGAGGAAGCTATTGTCCGAATCTTGAGCTTTGTCCAAAGTTGTGTGTGTGCTTGTGTGAGTGTGTGTCTAGGCCAAGATCACAGCTTAGATCTGACGGGTTCCCAGCTCCATTTCAACCTCACACTCATCCCGCTACCATGTTCATCCCCATTTTACAGATGAGAAAACTGAGGCTCAGCGAGGCCCTTCAATGCAGCTGGCTCCAGCATGCTGGGAAGCCAGCAAAGTCCAGGAAGCAAGCGTGACCTTGCAGGTCGCCACAGGCAAGGTGCTATCCCAGGGCCAAGATCCCCTCCCGGGGCCTCCCACTTCCCCAGCACCTAGAAAACAGAAGCAGAAACTGGGGGAGGGGAACAAGCTGTGGGGGGTGAGCAGAGAGGTGAGGCCATGCATGCTTGCACTTCTCCGTAACCACTACCTGGGCTTTCTTTAGCCAGACCTAGACTTCCGGAGGCCACTGGCTGTTTCCTGCCCCCAGGTCCCTTCAGCTAGCTGAGGCTACTTTAGGGAACAAAGTTCAATCCTGAGGAAAATCCTGGGGAAAGGCTGTAGGGCTGTTGGGCTGTAACCAAGAGGGACCCCAGAGACGCCAGCAGCCACCAGGCCAGGGGTCCTGTCAACCTACAGGAAAGCTGGCTCGACCGGACGCCTCCCCCAGAGTCTCCTGGGAAGCCGTTTCCGTATCTGACAAGTGGTCATAACAATGCTGCCTGTCCTCAGCAGCAGCTCCCTGGCCCTCTGCCAAGCACTTTAGATATCTTATCTGTCATCCTCCCAACGACCTACCCAGGGCTCAGGTGCAGGAGGTAGGCCTTGGGCCCGGCCCGTAGGTGGGGATGCTGGGGTTTGCACAGACCCTGTGCTTTGAAGCCACCTTCCTTTATCTTCCCATGGAGTCCAGCAGGTTCAAAGGCAGCATACCCCCCACCACCCCAACCCCAGCACTGGCCCAGGGGGGCTTCTATCTTTGGAGGCGACGCTGGACTGGGCCATTTAGGTAGCCACTCCCACATTTGCCTCGTAACACAGGTATTAAGTCAGCGTGGGCTCCAGTGGGCCAGGAGAAGAGGGCGCCTGGCATTGGGGTGGGGGTGGGGACGCGGCTCGGGGGAGGCAGGGAGCCACCTTCAGGCCTGACAGGAACACGAGGCCACGGCGGTACCTACATGATGGCGCGTTTGCCGCACGACTCCTGATTTCGCTGGTAGTGGATTAGACGGTCCAGGGGGATCTCCGAGGTCATCTTGTTGCATGTGACGACGCATTTCTTCACACCAAGGTGCTGTCCTGAGCCACAGAGGCCCCCAGTCAGCAGGACTGTCGTGGGCACCCGGCTCCCCAGCCCCAGGCCAGTGCATTCTGGCCCCAGTGACCAGCTGGAGCCAATGCCCTGCGCAGCCAAGCCTTCAAGGCCCTTAACCTCAGTGCCCCTCCCCCACGCAAGCCTCTCCATGCCTCAGTTTCCCCACCTGTCAAATAGAGGTGATGATAGTATCTACCTCATAGGACTGTTATAAAGATCAAGGACAGTGAATGCTTCCTAACCCAGCTCGTATGGCCTGGCACGTAGGAAGCTCTTATTCTTAAAAATAAAGTGGCTGTCGTTGGCTTGTTGTGCAGCGGGAGAGGCAAGTCTGAGAGTGGTGGGCGTCTGCCTGAAGTCACTCAGTCAGCGAGCAATGGAGTAGATTCCCTGGCCAGGCCTGCCTCCCATTTCTTCTGGGCCCACGCTGCTGACCACGCCCCACCCTGGCCCTCTCCTCCCCACCACACACACACACAGCCCATTCCTCACCCCCGTCCATATGCGTGAATGTTCATGACCTCACACCCCAGACCCCTGTCCATCCTTACCTCTGCGCCCACCATGTCACCATGCCACATACCCACACACGTGCCAGCTAACAAACACAATGGCACAGAAATGCCCCCGCCCAAAAACAAATCAGGGTTTACACACAAGTCACGTGTAGCAGGAAATAGTTGGGAAAGGTGTAAGCCCAGCCACCTTTGAAAGGAGAAGGGGGCGTTCAGCAGATAAGCCTGGAATTGTGAGAGCAGTCGCTGACTCATCCACTGAGAGTTCCTGGAGTGATTTGCAAGTTTGTGTGTGTGTGGGGGGGGGTTCAAGACCAAGGAGGCGGCATGGAGAAAAGTTATGGGGGGTGAAGGGTAGGGGCCTGCAGATGGCTGCACATGTCGCCAGAGAGAAACCCCAGCACAGAATGAGGGTTACTAAACAGGCAGCTGAGAACCCAAGTATTTTATGTAAACATTTGAAGTTGTTTGTGTTGTGTTTCTTCCTTCCCCCTTTCCTGAAAATCCCCAGCACCCAGCAAGATTTATTCTGCTCAGTATAAGGATCAAGAGAGGGATGTTAAAAATGAGGAAGAGCCTGATTTTTAGCTCTGGATCAAGGTCATTGGCAACAGAAGCCAGACTCTGAAGGTTATGCAGAACTCTCAGGGCCAGGACAGCTGGGCCTGTAGAGGGCATGCTGACCTTACCTGGGTCTTCAGGAAGCCCCAGCTGACCCCCACAGTGGCTAAAACGTGCTGCCTTTCAAAGTCAGGCACGTGGACACACACCCACCCACACATACACCCCCCCACACCCACGCACAGAGCCTTCTAGAATCTGCTGCCACCTCTTCTCCCATCATTCCACCTTAGCCTCAGCCCACCCCACCTGTGGGGAAGGTAGCTCAGGGCTTGCAGTACTGGGCTGGGCCATCAGAGGGCAGTACTAGCAGCCAGGGGGTAGGGGGGTGTCCCTCAGGCCATCAGCGGCTGGTCTCTGAATCACAGGCAGAACTTTATCTCTGAAGAAAGGGGATGTGAAAGTCCCCTTTCTGCTCTGTCATCCTCCTCTCCTGGGGGGCCTGGAAGTGACTCAGCAGCTGTCACACAGCCCTCTTGAGCCAGGAGGCAGACCCTGGACTGGACTGGTCTGGTAAGGATCTTCCTGGGGAAACCCCAGAAAATGGGGACAGGAGGGATAAGCTAGGGAAGGCAGTTTGCGCTCTCTAGATGATTTCTCAGGATGGAGAAAACCACACCCCGTCTTCAGGGGTTTGAAGGGCCACAGAGGCAGCCAGTCACAAAGATCCCTGCTCTGTCATGGTGCCCACACCTTTGTCAGGCTTTGTTCTAGGGTCTGCCCAGGAAGGTTGTAAATCGAACCCTCGAGGGGGTGGTGTGGGGAAGGGTTTACTTCTCAGCACTGAAGTTTGCTGTCATTGGAGATAAGGCCTCAATCCAGCCAGACATCGATTATCTGTCACATGAGTGTCAGGAGGCAGGGAATTTGTCTGCCTTGGTCACTGCTCCCAGCATCAGGCACAAGGTGGATACTCCATAAATATTAATCAAGTAATCAATCTACTTATCCTTCCATCC